TCAAAACATTAATGGTGATAATCAATTCTCAACAGCAACACCACAACATCTTCCCAAAAATAAATAAGGAATAACTCAATAGTTAATCAATTATGGAATCCATAACATTTTCTAAAGGATATTGATATCTTTTTCCTTCAAAAATATATTAAGAATTAAACAAATCAATGAATAAGAGTTTTAAAAATTTCAAATAAATATGACTATGTTCTATTTAACATTTAAAATAGTAAGCTATAGGACAAAAATATAAATAATTTCTAATAGTTAACCTCTAAAAAATAAATGATGAATCTAATAATAATGTCTTCTTGATGATGAAATGAAGAAGATGGATAAAAAAATTAGGGTTTGTGATTGGTAAGAAGTTATGTGTGCGTGTGTGTGTGTGTTTTTTTTTTTTTTTTTTTTTTTTTTTACCAAAATTCATACTATCCAATATAATAATCATATCTCTAATATTTATAATATACAAAACAAATAATCACATTACAACATTAATGACTTTCAAATCAAGCATTAAATGCTCCTAAAAAAGTGTCACTAAGGATAATATTGACCTTTCACACCCAAAAAGTGAATTTTTGATCAAATTTAGTGCAAATGAATTTTTTTTGCACATTTTCAAATTTAGTGACATTTATGAAAATTCTCCTAATTATAATACAAATTTGAAGAGCATTACTCTGTCAAAGTCAACTGATAAAAAAACTCAGACACTATACGGATAATAAGGGGGGTGTTTGTGCCCCATTATTTGTGAATAATGTTTTATGGAATATTGATTGATGTTGAAATGTGTGGTTAGAAAAGAAGGAAAATATTTTAATTTATGTGTAACATTATTTTAATGAAAAATATGTAGTTGAAAATGAGAATATAGAAAAAATGATATGAAATAATGGTAGACAAACAAAGCTTAAATATAGCATAGAGGTATTCAAGGGTAACAATGTTTGCATCCGGGGTTTCATAGGGTCAAAAGGTACTTGTTTCGACTTTTTAACTCCTTAATTTTGTGTGAATCTCAAAGATTTGAAAGTTGTCCCTCCAATCTATACATGCAACTTTCTGCATAAATTCTATATGTATCTTTGAGATCAGTAGCGAAATAGGACATTTTCTATTGTGGGGTAAAAAATTAAAATGCAATTTTTTTAAAAAACAACGTGACCTTTTTTTACAATTTGTATGGAATTTCCTTTAGAACGTGCATTCCATGAACTTTACATACTATACAATGGCATATTTGAGAACATCTATCACGCTAACTTTTGGACTTTTTGATTATTTTTGCATACAAAAAAAAACCTATGCAAAAAATATATTAGGGCATACTCAGATAGAACTTTGCTATTTGTACACTTATTTTTGACATTTTGGTTGACACTTACATTGTTGTCAAGTGTCAATTGGATGGAAAAACTGTTTGAAATTTAAACTGCTCAATAGGGTAATACCACGTGGCAAAGTGTCAATTAAAGTATACACTCTGGTGTATATGTAGCAAGGTTCCACTCGGATTAGAGGTGGGATTGGCAAACTTGTGCTGTTAAACCTAATATTTGAAATTCCTAAAAGATTCTACATCCATTGAGCATTACAGCACGGGAAAAAATTGAACAAGCATAAAATAATTCATACCTGCATAAAACTTTAAACAATTTAAATGGCAAAACTACATAATTTTTGAAGGAAAAAAAAATTAAAGAAATTTTGTGGGATCAAACAAGGACTTAAATTAATATTTCGTTGTTGTGGCTCCTTCTCAATTGCTTGCCAATAAAACAGGAAAATATATAAATAAAAGAAGACGAAGAAAAAATAAAATTGTCATTAGTGTATCTAAATTTCTCGTGTGCGTTGGATGGGGGCAGGGGTTGCTACAATTTGATGAACTTTCAATGATTCCGATCACATTGGTATATGTTGTGGAAACCCTTTTGAAAGATCTTCAAATCGGTGATTTTCGGGCTTAGTCCAACGCATATTTCTTAACCAACAACCAGTCCAATCAGCTCCAAACCACAACCAATTGATTCATCTTGGTTGCCATGCAATCTTACCCATGTAGGATAAGAAAGGATGATGATTTATGGTCACAAAGATTAGGAGAAGACACCACAAAGGTATATTATAAAAGAACCACCAATTGCACACGTTATACAAGCATTCTGGACACCTTTTTTCTCACACAAAGGGGGGCAACCGGGATTCACTTTTTCTTCTCTCAAAAAATCACACAATCATCATTAGAAAGTGGCTAGGGTTATAGCCATATATATACTCTAGGGTTAGACTTTAAGTTGGACCATTAAAGAGGTAAACGGGCCAAGATTCAAGTCATCCATAAGGGAATACAATTGGGTCGGGTGTAACTCATGGACTTGGTTGTTGGACTTATTTCATTCATCGGCCTATGCCTATAAAATAATATTAACCCACGTTAACATCATAGTCTGGAATTTATTGGATATAAAAAAATCCAACAGTATAGCAAGTCAATGTCTTATTAACTAAATTTTCACTAAAATAAAAAATAAATATAGAAGTTACTCATGAAGTGCCTAATGCATTTACAGTTTCTTTAGTTTCCCTTTGTTGATGGGTCTCAAGGTATGAGAGTTATAATTGAAGGATTAGATTTAGTCAACACATTTCTCTTATCATAATATCTCATTCTTATGCATTATATTAGGGAAAAATTGCAACAGCGGTTCCTAACTTTTTTGTTTTTTGCATACTTTATTGTAACCTCCATTTTGTGCTAGTGAGTGCATATTTATGAAAGGTTAGGGATCTTCGCTGACACAAAATGAAGGCTAGATTGAGTGTATATTTATGAAAGGTTAGGGACCTTCGCTGACACAAAATGAAAGTTAGAATAAAGTCAACAAAAAATAAAAAGGGCGCCCCATAGACCCCTAACCAATAGGTGGATGTTGGCCCTTGTCCTGAGTAGCAAAACTGTTCTTTTATAAGCCATGTTCATTGTCAATCTGCATAATTTTATAGAATTAAAAATATATATATAAAAAATAAAAAAAATCTTTCATCTCTTCCTCAACGTGGAGAGTTGGAAGAATTGGGAGAAATTGCGAGAGCTCACTACAGAGCTGGCTCTCCAGAAGTTCAAGCCCTGGCCTATGAATTCTTCAAATCACTTGACCTGAATATTGATGGTCTTGTTCAGCTGCACGAGTTCTCGGCATTCATGAGACATGAAGGCCACTCGCATATGCATAACACGCACTTTTTCATGAATTAGATGGCGATCACAATGGCACTTTATATTTTGGGGAGGTGATGACACTTTACTACATAATTAAACGTGGAAGGCCTTATTGTGACTAGTAGGAATATTTTTCTCGTGTGGAGTGCCTTGAAAGTCCTCGAGGCTCTTTCACACTCTGTTGGGTTGTTACAAGTCGAAAAATTGTGACCACAATCACTACGATCATGTCCACTTCTTGGACAACTATACATTCCTGGAATTCAAGAAAGCCTCAGCTATGGCACAAGGAACAGGAAAAATTCAGAATCAGGTAATGAACTTACTAATTATTTATATGTCTGGGAAACTTGTATTTTCCATCTATCGAATGTTTCAAAACTTTTCTTTGCATTTTCATGTAATGGGAAAGAATAAATTTTGGTCACTTGATGTAGTTTCTAGCTTTTTGGTCACAAAGTTGATGTGGGCACTTGAAAATTTTGATATTTGTCAAAATCAAATTGCAAACTACCTTTTAAAGTCGGAAAAAGCTGAAGAAACAAGCTCAATGACAAAGCCTTTTTCCAGGGATTGACTTGATAGTTTTTGATTGGCAGTTTTTTCTTTAATTTTCTTTTTAACTACGAATGAAAATTTGCCAAGTGTATATTAGTAAAAAAAAAATCTTGTCATCCAGCCTATTTTTCTAGTAGACCTCTTCAAAGAATAGCTCGAATACAAAAATACGGTGAATTGAACTCAATGAACATCGTTTTTCATTTTTGGCATGAATATCCTAACGAAAGATTTGGTTTTTGTAGCCAAATAGTCCAATGACTCCACAATGAAGAATTCAAGAATATGGTCCAATGGTTCCAGCACCAGCAACTACTGCTTCTAACAGTACTCCAGGGCCAACTTATTCATATATTGCTTATCCTCCAAGTCCGATCCCCAATATATCAAATGCTATTGTTTCAGCCGCATCTGCAGTGTTTAGTATTCGGGTTTTATTCTCGTAATGCATGTTTGGCAAGTTGTCAGTTAAAATTATATATAGTTAAATTTTTTGAAGCTTTGTTATTTTGGATAAAATAGGTAAGAACATGAGCAAGGGCGGAGCCAGGGACTTTGTCCAGTGCGGGCACAAATTTAGGTATTCGCTACAGTAATTTTTTTGGCCAAAAGCAGTATATGAAAGAAAAGAGGTTCACATGATTAATGCGGAAGGAATCTATAACAAATATTCACAAACGGGGTGAGTTATCCAACATAGAAGACAATCTATAACGTATACATATATAAATATGACACCCTACAGAAAAAGAATATCAATTATATAGTTCCAAAACAAATTCTGAGTTAAGAACCTCAAATAACCACCAGCAAAACTGTGAATTTATTTATTTATTTATTTATTATTATTATGTTTTATAGAATACCAATTCTAACCAGTCTAAAGACAATCTCACATCCTCGTTCACTTGAAGAACTTCTTTTTGAGTCTTGTCCCAATTGAAAATCGAAGATGCGAGAGATATCCCGAGAATGCCAAGCCCAAACTTATTAACCATTCTAGAAGCATGTAGATTTTCAAATTAAAGCAATTAGTGGAAGATGACTTGCTAACACCTACTGCAATCAATTCTATTATTCCATTTCACTTGCTTTTAGATTAATACGATAATTAATGGAGATGCACAAACAAACACATTGTACACATTTATACGAACAAAGAGATATGTTTTGTGCATATATTTATAAAACAATAGCTGAACAGTCTGAACTATAGAAATAGGATGAAACTAGGAACGGTTATAACTTTTAACATCCGTAGGCTTGTGGGCTATGAATCCTATGATCATGGGTCTAATGTTAAGATAGCCCAATTTAACAAAAGGTTCACAATTTTTTTTAATTTTTTTTCCTAAAAGGCCCAACAACTCATCTTCCCCATCAATTCATCCCTGCTTTTCACTGCAACAGCTGCTTCGGAGTTTTCTTCTTCCATTTTCTTCTTCTCTTCTTGGTCAGTTGGTCATAAAAGGCTTACATTACAATTTAGAAAACAATTAGAAGTTAGCCCAAGAAAAAACTCTTCTACCCTTCTTCCACTTTCAGCTTTCCACTCTGTGTTCATCTCTTCACGTGATGCATGGACTTGCCGGAAATCCTAGTGCAGGCACTGTCTGCATCTACTAGCTAAAATTTCAGTTCTTAAAATCCCAGTGCGGGCAGCCTGCACTAGTCCTTAGGTAGCTCCGCCCCTAAACATGAGTAATGGTTGGTTGATTTAAATATAAATATTGTTATAAAACAAGCCAATTTGCAATAACTCTACAATAGAACTTATACCACTTGTTATGTGACACACCCCGTCCCGAATCACCCTAATGAACTAGGAACGTGACGTGCGTCGATGATAGATGCTGATTAGATGTCAGATTCACCACCAAGGTTGACTACGACTTACTACAAAATATGCGCCAAAATCAAATATTTATAAAAAAATATAATGTAATGGGCTCGAAACGATTACTTCATGTTTTACCAAAATGAATCGTATCACTCAATATGCCGTGTGACACTAATTCTAAAATCACCAGGCTCTTCAAGCTATCAGGGACCAATACTATTTGTAAAAAAAATAGTGGAAAAATATGAGTTTATAGCTCAGTGAGTGGAATAGTTCGAAAATAATTATACTTTCTCATTTAAATATTTTTACCCATCATCAAGGTCACATCGTTTAGTAATTCACACGATAGTAGCAAAAAAATGAGACATTCTCATAACTCTTTTATATCATCTCATATCCACGATATAGTCATCAACTGATATCTATACTATCATCTCATCACATCACATGTGATCTACCAAAAATGTATGCTTTGACTAAAATCTATAATCTGCCCTTCGGGTTAAGGACTTTTGCCATGAGCCTTTGGCCCCTTCCGTGAACGAAAGCCGGTCTCTAGACCTCTGGTAATCAATTCTAGAATACAGCTAAGACTCCTCTATAAACTATATGTACACGATCAAGACTAATGTCAGGTCAAGACCCCTCAGTGAACTAGAAGAAATATATAATCATGGGCACTTTTCAGGTTGAGCTCAAAGTCACATAATTCACAATGTACCGTATACAATCTTTGAAAGTTCACATGTATTATAATAAAAGATGTTTTCATAATAACCATATACTCCGAACACATAATTGCACATACTTTAATAATATATTTATTTCATAAATATTTTAAAAATATTTATATTTTTTCACTCACAGATCTATGGATAGAAATCTGATTAAATTGACGAGCCTTTCCAAGCTTCCATGTTCTTACCTGAAATAACGATATAATTTCTCGAATTAAAACCTAACAATTAAATTAATATAAATCCACCACTTAATTTATCAACTTCTATTACTCTTACATCTCCAATTCCCCAAATTTTCTTCTCTTTAATGATTTATCAACTAATCACCATACACTATCAAATTTATTACACCACTCACACTTCCTTAAAATCACGACCTTAATACATATAAAGCCCCTATACATAGTTAGTCCAATACATAGACTTCAATATTTGTCATATAAGTTATTCAAAACTTCAAAAATTTGGAAATCCAAGGTTTGACAAAAATGGCACTAAATTCAAGAATATAGAAATCTAGCATCAATTTCTGTATATTGCACCAAAACCATTGACAGAAATGACACTTTCTGGGTAGAATTTCAAAAGAGCACTATGCATTGATTTTGCCCGAAAATTAATTAAAAAAAAAAAAACAAAATCCAACCTCAACTCCATATCTCATTGTATTACCTCATAAATCAACTGTTTTATATCATATACACTAAATATAAAGATTTAAACTTTAATTTACAAACTCATTTCATATTACTTTAACATATATTCAATTCCAATATCTATTTTTTCCTCCAAATCTTTTAAGTTAAGCCACTAACTACAAACCCAAATCTAACAATATTGAATAACAATAAGTTTTTCTTACCTCTTGGAATAGAATAGAAGAAAGGATGAACCTTGTATTTGAGTCTATATATCATCTTCTTCAATAATATCTTTTTCCTTTTCTTTTTCCACCTTTTTTTAATTTTTCTTCCCCCTTTTCTTTCTCTCTATCTTCTTTCCTTCTCTACCTCCTTCTCAATTCTTCTCTCCTTCTCTTAGCTTCTCTGCCCGTTTTTCGTTTTTGTATCTATCTCCAAATGAAAAAAAGGCTATTTATTTAATATTAAGTGGCACTAACTCATAATTGCAAAACAAGTCCTCCAACCTTCATATAAAACCACATTGAATCCTTATCTTTCAATACAAGTAGATCCCCAAAATTAAATTTTATCCATCTATTTTCATAATAAATTAAGCCCCAATAGAATAATTTATCTAATTCTAATCCTTGTCGGCGTCCATGTGCCCCATCTATGTCCCAAACACTTCAAAAGCGTTTTTATCCATTTCAAAGTTCTTCTTTTTATCAAATTCTCAATCCTTAATGAAATTTGACTGCTCTTCAAACTGGACTTCCAAAGCAAAATTGTTCGTCTCCTTTGTCAATCAAACAACCCAAACCTAATCCAAATAGTAATTTGGATCATAGTCAACCAAATATAATGCTGGTCACTAAACTTAATTTTATTTCAAGCTAAACATTCAACTTAAACTTTATTGTAGTTGAGTCACTAAACTCCATCAATTGAACTATTAGCAAAATTCAATTGGATTACAGAATTTTATATTTTTTCAATTTATTAATGTCATGTTGATGTATCTAGTGACTTGTGTTGTACTAATTTCTAAATTCATTTACGAAATTCTAGCAAAATAAAATTTAGTGACCACCGGCATTTTTAACTGGCCAAAAATAAATAGGACAAGTTGGATGATTTAATTATTGAAAGCTTTTGTTTAAGAGGATTTTCTCACACATACTACACGACTTAAATATCTTTAAAATTGTTCATCACAAGTTCTTTGAGCAATATATTTTCCTCGTTTATAAGAAAATTTAGGCAAGAGTATTTGTTCTCAAGTATATTTTAGTATTGATTCAGTTCCTTCCATGGAAATGACTTAAACTTGTTATTATGCCTTTTTAGCTTCGTTCATGTTCTAGTTTACGTAAACGTACGAATTAGCTATATCTGTCGATGTATAAAACCTTATAAATGATTTGGATATGCATCCAAACTGGCCGTAAACTAAGAATATCCTTTGCAAAGTCAATGTAATTAGAGTTAGTTCAATATATTCTCAGTATGAAATGGCCTATTTTAATTGGAAACCGAAACTTCCATTGTTTATTAAAAGAAAATGAAGAATGAAGAACTCTTGTAATTATCAGATTTTAACATTATTCAAGAATAATATATGTTTCCTATTTTAACATTATTCAAGAAAATCCAATAGCAGACAAATATTTGGCAAATCATATGCTCATTCTCTTTTTGTCTCGTCTTTGTCGTAAATTCTAACCACTAAAACACAGTGTTCGCACAATATGTATGACAAAGAAATAGTTTCATGCGGAATTCACACACTGTAGGTGTTTTTTTTTTTTTAAATGCCACCAATGCTTCATGGTAAACGAGAGTTACGAGATCTCTACCCGTATCATAATGAATATATTAAAAATATATATATAGTACAACTAAGGTTGGAGACTACCTTACTTCCAAAAAAATACTACAAGGAGAAGGGTAAGTGTCAAAACCAAGCAATAACTACTCACTTCTAACATTCTACACAACCATCTAAGCGAAAGATTGCTTACTTAGCCGATTTAGTTTGACCTTACGTGCGAAATTATTCTATTAAACGCAACAAGTTATTTTTTAATAATTTCTAGATGGTTAATCAAACAATCCAATTATTCTAAGTTGAATTGCCAAAGTTTGTAATAAGAAAACAATAAATAACACAAATATAATGACGAAGAAACCCCAACTGGATAAAAACTCCGAGACTAAGCTAGTTACTTCCACTATAGACAATGATTGTTACAGTTAGATTCTATCTAACCAACTCCATTAGACTTCCTGATCTACATCCTATAATTTCCAAGATACTGCTGTTTCTTCCAACTTCCCAATCTTGTACAATTCCCTATTAAGTGGATACTTAAGAATCACCTATTCTTGTTCTTATTCCTGCGGTTGTAGTCCGACCTTCGTCAATCTTCAGTAGCCGCCGAAGTTCCAATTGAGAAAGTTCTTTTATTGTTGCACAAAGGAAGTCAGGTGTTTTGAATTCAAGGATTTGATGTTTTTCCAAATATGTGATTGCAGGATCTCAAGAATCAACGGGATGAATCAAGGTTTGAACAAGCTCTTGGATCACCAAAGGATTGATATGAATGTGATATGTATATGAGGCACAATGAACAACCACATAAGAAAATCGTGCAAGGCTTTGGTGTTTATAGTTAGGAATGTTAAGGTAGACTGTGTAAAATTTTCCAAATTCTCGAGTTAGGGTTGACCGAAAACACTATCGCTCGAGCGACAGAATTTTACTCGAGCGAAGTCCGGAAAACAGGCGAGCGACGATCATTCTATTTTTGTCGTGAAATTGCAGCGTCTCTTCTTTCCTTATTCCGGACTCGAACCTTAACTTACCTAACTCATCTATACAAAATTACACATAACTCCTTGACTTTTATACATGTTCTATTTAGTTATTTTCGTTCACATAATTGCCAATTACATAAAACCTAACAAAATCCCCCCCTTCACTTTGGCATCCTGTGACAAGGAAAATAAACAAAACTAAACCATTTAAACTACCCAAGCTTTGTCTCTTGCATTCTTTGTTATACCTATTTCCTGAAATAAAAAACTCAAGTACTCATTGTAAAAGCACGTGATACATGATATATAACAGTTGAAGTTCATAATCATAAATAAGCATACTAGTTTGAGACATGACATTAACGTCAATCAAAACACCAATCGAAACATTAACATCACAAAACATTAAAATCCAAAAAGCTATGTATTATCATATAGAATGCTAGAACGCAATGCAATGTAAATTCTCCATCTTACTGCAAACTCTCAACATTTTTATGCAGTATCAAAATGTATCTATGTTTCTCCCCAATGATCCCCAAATCTAAATGCTAAGGTCAATGTATATTCTCTCCCCCTTTGAATATGCTCTTCCACTTTTTTGTCACAAATGACGAAGGGACGAATATCAAAATCAATATGCTGCAACTCAAAAATGCAGTTGATATCATGCACAAGCATAATTTACAGTAACTAAACCTTTTCACATTCTTATTTCAAGTTGAAATGGAATAAATTGTATAAGTGACCCATATGTGTAAAGTGTCACTAATCCTTTATAAGTAGGACTACAAACCTTAATTTTGTGAGAAAAGACAAGCAAAACATCACTACTAATAAATTTATTCTCCGACTCCTGAAAGTCAAACCATTAAGCACCTTAGGACCTTTAATTGAAGCTCATTTTGTATGTATATGTTGATATTTTCTTTTCTCCCCATAACTTTGAGCATACATTTTCACATTTTTCAATATTTTTAAAGCTCATCAATTTTTATATCTAAGTGTAGTTCCCTCTTCATTAAGCGACTAAGATGACTCTTGTAACGAGTTTTAAGCCAGTTAATCCAAGTCAATTGATTATAGGCACCAGGTTTTGAGACTCCCAACAGGTTTAGTTGTCTGAGTCAAATAGGCTTCGAAAAAGAACATAAGATAATGAACTTTTATTATGAGGGGATGTAAGTAAGTTTAGGTCTAATATATAAGGTCAATTTATGTTCAAAATCACCTTACTAATATGTGACTGTCATCCCAAATCACACACGCACACGATTAAGTCCCACTTACAATATTATAGTGTGTGTAGTACAGATGGTATATGAAGACATCTATACTAAGTACTCCGTAGAAACCTAAGTAAGTAATGGAAAATATGTCACAGTTAATCAATTACGCCCGTACATGGTCATAACACACAAGTTCAAGAATGTTATATATCATGCCGTAGAAAATATTCGATTTACCAAAATTCTTTGTTTTTTGTATTTTTCATTTTTTTTAAAAACATGAACACTCCAAGCACACAAAACAAAACGATAAAAATTCACACAGATTAAAAAATGTGCACATGCCAATACAAAAATAATGAAAATGTACATGCATGTAACTATTATCTAAAAAGCAAGTAAACAAATGTGATGTATGCATAGATCAATGACTTACAGTAATAAAGCATAGGTATGCATCGAGGTTACCTAATAAGTTAGGTAAAGGAATGCTCTTACCTTTAAGAGTACCGTGATCTATTTCTGATCACCATTTTTCATCCAACCTTGCCTAGTGACATGAATATTCTTAGTCATCTGTGTCATTAATTTAGTCAATTGACTCACCTGAATACTAAGGAAATCAATATAACCAACAAACTCCTAATTCTTGCTCCTATGGAAGTTCTGGTTTCTATTTCTATGCAGGAATTGATGACACCTAGGCCTTATGTGTCTTAACTCACCACAATAAAAGCATGCAGGGATAAACCTAGGACCAAAGTTGTGTGATCGTTGACGTCTATTCCTAGGTTGACGGGTCCTACGCTGTTTAGTTGGTCTCTATCCTACAAATCCCTTATTCTTAGGCTCTGGGTCAGGCACAAGTTTAGGCGGGTCAGTGACGAGAACAGAAGTGGTCTTTGAGGTACTAGCAATATTCTCTTTGAAACCTAGACCTTCCCTATTACCAGCCAGCTTGCTCATTCTAGCTTTTCAGAACCACTAGAAAAGGTAAGCAGTTGAGACTTAGAATACTCTAGATTGCTCATAAGGTTCTTAAATCGGATTTCCAAAATCTCATTTTCAGCGATCAGCTCACTAAGTTTCCTAGAGGACTTTTCAAGCTCACTGGTGAGATTTCTAACCCGAGTATCTAAAGATTCATTCATTGATTTCAATTCACTTAGAGTCAAGTTAGATTCTTGGATGTACTTCCATAGCTTTTCTCTCTCCAATTTAAGCTGATTTACCTTTGAATTTAAGGCTTTATTAGTAGCAAGAATCTTAAGACTCTCCTTATATATTTTATCGTAAGCCTCATGAGTA